TAAAGTGCTGTATCTTTGCGAAAAAAAAATAGTAGCGGTTTTTCACAAACTGGAAATTAAAGATAAAGGTTTGTACTGTTGGAGGTCCCAACCATATGCTTCGCAAAATACTTTCTTTACCATGCTGTTCCTATTTCCTTGTCCTTAATCCATTGACTGCCAGACATATTTAGAGCGTCTTGCCCTGGGTGCCAAGGTTTTATTTTGAAGAATACATGAAATTTTACAAAATATAATTATATTAAGTTACTGATATAATATTGTAATAGCATTTACAGTAATTTTTATTGAAAAAAAAACACTACGAGATAAGTCGTAGCTGGCGACACTGAATAAAATTCCTGTGCTGGTTGCCACTTACGAGCCACGCACTATTGTCACGCACTACGAGATATCTCGTAGCTGGCAGTCAATGGGTTAAAATTCTGGCTGAAGAAAATAGAGGTTTTGCTATACGGAAATGGATTTGCCTTTCAGAATTAATGAAGTATTGTAATCGTTAATTAAACGGATAATATTTCAGTTATTCAATTCTTCAGTTATTTTTAATTATTTTAATGAAACTTTCATATTTTATAAGTTTAACCACTCGAATAAAACAGATATTTTTATTGTTATGTTACAATATATGGTTTTTATAATATAATACATGATATACTATTTTACACTGTATTTTTATTTTTATTACTGTATGAATCCACTTTCTTTCAATATTTTGTCCAATCCCTGTTCTTTTCCTCCACCCTCGTTAAATAGTTTCAATCAATAAGCATTTTCCTAAAAGGTTTCTTTTTCACGATTTTTACTCCGTCTCGTCAGAATTCATTCGCAACTCAACCGTGCTAGTTCATAAACTCGTTAGTTAACTGTTGTAAGATATTTGTGCGGAAATAAAATTAACTATTTAAAGTTAATCCCGAATTATCTGAACCCGGTTTTCCAACAGTACTTTTTCCAACAGTACTGCTTTTATAAATAATATCGCCAAAAAAAAATGTGGTAAATCCATGCATTTCGTCAAATTTTGTAATTTTCAATATAGCAAACATGATCTCGCATTTACGGTGTTATTGTGGTAGAGATGCATCAAATCTAAAATCGAACTACAGGGTCTTAAAGTAGAGATCTCAAGCTTTAATTTAAAAAAAAAGAGCATAATTTTATAATGATTTTTCACGGAGTTATCAAACACCAAACACGATGTAATTACGATCGTAATTACTTATGTAACAATTCATAAAAGTTTGAGATGGAACATTTACGGTAGAGATACGAATTCCTTCTAACGGCTTGCTATACAAGTAATTATGATTTCAATTATACCGTATTTGATACCATTTTAATCAGAAAAACGACACAAATACGATAATCAAAGTTTCATTGAGGAAAAACCAAAAATAAAAAACTTTAATTTTTAAATTTAAAAGACAGAACACGCACGAGTCTTTCATGTTTGCCGAACGTTCGAAATTCTATCCCTCCTTGTCTTTTGTATCGCTGGCTCTTTTTACGTTCGGCACACTACAAAGAATGTAAGACCTCTACCGTAAATGTTACAATCGAGACCGGCAAAAGTAACATTTACGGAGAGAATACTGTAGGATTAGAAATTAGCAATTTATCAAAAACATTACATTGATTACGTTGTAATTATCAAGAAAGATGCATACAAATGGAACTAACAACGAATAGTCAGATTCAAGAGCCTTGTGTGAAATTGCGGAAGCATTTTCAGGAACTACATTTTTGTTACAGTAATATGTCTTACATACCTTGAAACCTAAAGATCTATTATTTATCGTAGCTGTTTTTTCCTTCATTCACTAGCATGCTAAATTTATATTTTTTTTCTTTTTTAACGTGAGAGAAATCTTCCAGTGGCGTCTCTTCACGCAGGACACCACTGACCCTGCTATGGCGCTGCAAGGAGAAACGTAAGGCCTCCCCGAAACCGCCGTTTCTCCAACGGTACCGACAACGGCCCGGCGACTCTCCCGATTTCGGATAGTAGATCACGTAGCCGCTGTAACATGAGGTATTGCAACACCTCTAAGGGGCGCACCGCTGAACCGCGGTCGCTGCGCCCCCTAGCCCTCCTTTGCGAGTCCGTTTGTTCGCGGACTCTGCGGCCTCCTTCTGATTTGCTCGCAGAAGGAAACCACTGTCCTCCAGTTTCTCTCGCTCGCCAACAGTGCCCCAACTACTGCTGGCAGCGAGATATCATATCCAATTTCGAATACGAGGACAGGACGCCGCGCTGAAAAGGCGGAGCAAACCTCCAGCGTGTGCTGCGCAGTGTCCTCAGCCTCCCCGCAATGGTGGCAGGCCGCCATTGCCTTCTTCCCAATTCGACGCAGGTATTTACCGAAACATCCGTGATCGGTGAACACCTGCATCGTACGGTAGGTGAGCCGCCCATACCACCTCTCCCGCCACTGGTCAAACTGTAGGCAGGAGGGCTCCCAACAACTGACTTCTCAATATAAGTAGACTCGTAACTCACCCTTCAACTACGAAATTATTCGCTCAAGTGTACAATCTGTATTTTAGTTAAAGTATAGACTTATATCAAGACTATACTTACTTAGGACTGGTAGAAACAAACGGAAATAACATAAAATATCTATTAGCGCGTGAGTGAGTGTACTAAAATAAGCAAAATTAACACATATTTATGAATAACCATCTTTAAATTAATTAAAAAGATATTAAAAAGTGGCGTATTCTGTAAAGTGGTATGTTAATTCGAGTCACCCTATATAGGGTAATATAATATAAGCATAAAATTTGTTTACTATTTAATTGTTAACTGCTGTTACTCCATTGAGTTTATTGGCTTGTGTATGTTTAGTTGCTGCTGATGGATTGATTCGAATGAAATCTTTTACATAGCCTAGAGGATAACATTGCTAATATGTATAAAAGATGATTATGTACTTACTTCATTAAAAAGTATGAAATAAAAAGTTGTAAGGGAAGATGTAACTTATCTTATTCGCGCGAATGTACAACAACGGTTAAAAAATATATTTATCGGAGATACTAATTGAATGCACTAAAAAGTAAAAAAATTATTTTTATTTTATTTATGTTTAGTAAAAACTCTAATGAAAAATGATTTTACTGATAAGATTGATGTATAAATTTGATAATTTATGGATTGTAAGGAAAGTCAAGTAACGTTAAAGATATAAATTCTTTCTAGTTGCAACAATTGAATTTCGGTAACTCGAACTTTAGAGGAAGACCTAATATCCACGAGTTGCATAGGTTTCAATTATTGTAGTTCTGAGAAAAAAAGGTTTAGTAAACCTTTCGTATTATATGTAGAAATAAAATAATTAAATCGACATGCGACACATAATTTGAGTTAAAATAAGTTTTATTTCGTCTTATAGAGGATTTTACAGCACAACGGAAAAAAATAAAATGTTAACTTCTAAGAGTTCGAATTATCGAGGTTTGACTATAGTTGAATAATATTCATAATTATTTCAACTGTACCTCGCAACTGTATTTCGAGATAGTGTCTCGCAAAGAAAAACTAATGATGAAAATGTCAAACAAATGTTCAGAATAGGCGCTTTTGTCCGTTTAGTTACTTTCATATCTTGTTCTCATGACTATGTACAGTAAATATTCGATATGTGCACCATTCTCGGGTCTGAACTGGTGCAGATATCGTACGGGTCCAACATTGATTGATGTTTTGCCGAACGTAGGAAAGGACAGCGAGCGAAGGATACCGAATGTAAACAAACGGAAACATAGTGAGGGATAATACTAATGGATAAAACTTCTTTATTTTCCATTTTTTCGTTATCCAACTTTTACTAATAGATTCTTAATATTTGTCTGATTAAAATAAGACTAAACACTAAATAATTTAGACTATGTATAGTACATGTTCGATATGTGCACCATTCTCGGGACCGAACTGGTGCAGATATCGTACAGTTCCTACATTTCGAGCGAAGGAGACTGAACGTAAACAAACAGTGACCTACCAGAAGGATACTCCTAATGCAAGAGTAAAACTTTTTTTTTTTGTGAAATTTTTTTCATCATATTTGTAACATTTTTCTCATTAAAATGAGACCAAACACGACGTACTTCGGGACATATTTATTTGTAATTTCAAGTGTTACGCGTACATCGATGATTTTACTCTAATAAAATATTGCAAGTAAATATAAAACGTCACGAATATGATGGAAAAAGTTATATAAAAAAATGAGCAATGCTCAAGTATTACAAACAATCGAACAGACTTTTGATCTTTGCCGACTGCTACGATCGTAGCATCTCTTTCTTTTTGACTTGCTATCCTCTTCGACGTGAGAAACTTTTATCGTCAATTAAACCAGTAAATATGTATAGTCCAAATTATGTCGTGTTTGGTCTTCTTTTAATCAGAAAAATGTAAAGAATCTATTGGTAAAAGTTGGATCTCGGGAAACTCAAAAATAAAAAGTTTTATATTTATATATGTTTTGCTTCACGGATATACCCGACCACGGATCATGTTACATTTCTCGGCGATCGAGCTTCTTGGCGTCTGAAGGGGTCTTCCCCCCAGTGGTGGGGATAACTTTGGTGCACATATCGTACAGGTCATTTGTGCACATATCGAATATTTACTGTACTACGAAAAATTTACCTTCCGCACCTTGCTCATTATTTTTCTGATTGCTCAGTTGTTTTACTACATCTGATTATAAACATAAAATTGGCTATAAATCATATCTGGCTTATGTGAATGTTCAAGTTAAATTCATGATAAGTGGTCAGGTTTTAATATGCTTCGAAGATCACTAAATGTTCAGTTTTTGAAAAAGTAATGTTGAACTGCAATTGTGCTTCTTTTTAGGAAAAATATATAGTTAACTTATAAAATTATAATTTTTATAACGTTTATTACATAGAAAGTACATAAATTTTTAGTTATGAAATTATATAAACAACATGTACACACATTTTTATAAAAACATACACGTGTGGATGTATGTATGTACATACTGTATATAAATTTAAACATAATAATAATGATAATAATAATAATTGACAATTTTATTCAACTGCTCTTGTTTGAGCTTCCTCATCTTGATTCTGTACTGTCCAATTTTCTGAATGTCTGTATGATAAATCATTATTAACAGGCCCAATTAATGCACGTCCTACTCTAATATTTTGTTGATTGGGCTGTAAATATTTTTCAGCTACATACATAAGTTGATCTTTAGTTACAGCTTTTAATTGCTGCCTTTGTTTTTGAATATCATCATCTGTAATATTATATTTAAATTTAATCATTCCACGATTACATGGAGAAATTGGGGAATCTAAACTTTGGAATACTCCTAATTTTGCTTCGTCAATATCACTTTGACGTAGTGAATGTTTTAGTAAAAAGTCGTATATTTTATCAAACAGATCTAAGGTTCGAGTAGAATTAGGATCTCTATAAGAATAAAATCTAAATATTCCATCTGATGATACTGTAGCACCACCACCATAAGCTCCACCCTTTTCTCTAATTTCTGGATGCAAATAAACAGATGTAATTAATTTAGCAAGTATTTGTAGAGGTGCAAAATCTGGATCTGCATATGGTACAGTAAAAACTGCTTTAGCTGTATAATTTACAGTGTATGGTAATACGTAATGAACAGCATTATCTCCTGTTTCAATGTGTTCATTATATGTGGAAGAATATGTATTCTTAGGTATACCCTTCAGTGAACTATAAAATTCAACGATACTTTCTATTATCTTGTCTTTATTATTTGCACATAAATTTATCGCTGACCTTAAGTGTTGTTTATTTAAGACATAATTAGATATCTCTTGCATTTGATTTAATACAAGACCAAAGTCTTGTGTCTGTGCAATTTTTTTCATTTTTAAGACATACTCCATTCCTGATAAATTTTCTTTGAATTTCATAACTGGTGACACCAAACTGGCTGCACTACTCATTGCATATGTATGCCCTAAATCTGCAATTCCATTAATCAAATCTGCAGCATTTATTTTAACAAGTGTCTTAAATCTCTCTATTTCAGAGAGTTTAACATTATTAAACAATTCTAACCATAATTTCCACATATCATTTACATTTTGATCTAAACAATAAGATTCTATTAATATTCCTTCTTCATATTGCAATAAATTATTTTTATGTTCAACAATATGATTCATAAAGTTTAAGCCTCCAGTTTTTAATTGTATTAACTGATCAAAATTTCTGTAATCATAATTGTTTGTACCCATTTTTGAAATTATGTTGTTGAAAAGTGGTAATAAACTTTTTAATTCAGGTGCTAAGTCTTGTGTATTAAGTATTCCACGATAATAACAAACTCCATTAGTTGGCTCAGTTGCTACTTGTAAAGGAACATCAACTACCTTTAGATCTGTTAATTTGTAACGCTCTACATCTTCTTTTATATCTTCTATTTTCAAAGTAGGAAGAACATTTACATCTACTTGTTTTTGTTGTTCTTCAAGTAGAATTTTTCCATCAATATAAATTTGATCTAACTCTTCCTTAGAAAGTTCTTTTAATTTTGATTCTAATAATTTACGTTCTGCAACTGCTTTATTATGATCATATTGTTCATATGGCAACATGGTTATTGTTAATTTATGAGTATTATCTACGAAATATGTTTTCACTAAATCTTGGAGGTATTTGGGATTATTATTCATTTTTTCTCTAAATTTTCTAATTGCTTCATTAATTCTCATTGACTTTATAAGATCTCCATTATGATTCCACAATGGTGTTAAATTGAAAAGTAATTGTAATCCAAAATTAGAAGTTTGATGCTTGGTTTGAAGTTCAATACTATGTAAAACAGCTTCAACACGATCCTTACTAAAGTCCTGTTCAATCACTTTGTATACAGTTTCATTAAATACGTTTTCCACCTTCTCAAAATCATTTGCATTGACACCAAGTAAGCTTACAATAAACATAGTATCTTTACATTGAGGTTCAAAACCTGTCATTGGACCAAATGCGATTCCTATATTTGATTCTACTAAAGATTTATAAAATGGGGAATTTGGGCCTCTTAAAAGAAGTTGAGATAAAATATGCATTTCAAAATTTTCTTGTATGTCAGTTATGTCATTACACAAATAACCAATAGCTATACTGCCTGGTCGATTAGGATCTGCAATCATCGGATCTGGTTTACACAAAATATGCTTCTTTCTTGGCGTATTCCAACGTTTTTCTGAAGGTACCTTCGATATAGAAGTATCAATTTTATCCATTAAGAACAAGTATTGATCATTAACAAATTTTAAATGATCTTCTAAAGGAAAATTACCATATGAATAAAATCGAGAATTAGAAGGATGATAATAAGTTTCATGAAAATGAAGCAAATCAGTATATTTTAAAGTAGGAATGACAAGAGGATCTCCACCAGAAATTACAGAATAGGTATGACTAGGTAAAATTGTATTTAGTAATTGTTCAGCTAATATTGTCTGATTTTCATTAAAAACACCTTTCATTTCATTGAAAACTACTCCTTTAAAAATGATAGGTGAATTTTTATCATAAACGTCTTCATGTTCTAATCTCCAACCTTCTTGTTTAAAATCAAGTTCTTTCAAAAGTGGTTTAAATACAGAATCCAAATACACTGATTGTAGATTCCTATAATCTTTTAAATTTTGTGTAGAAAATGGATACATAGTATAATCAGGTCCTGTCATAGCATTCATAAAGGTGGCTAATGATCTTCTTAGCATTTTAAAGAATGGATCTCTACATGGATACCTTTTACTACCACAAAGGGTAATATGTTCCAAAATATGAGGTACACCAGTGGAATCTTGTGGAGGTGTACGAAATGCAACTGAAAATACATTGTTGCTGTCATCTCTTGCTAAATGTAAATACTGTGCTCCAGTGCTCAAATGAGTCAACTGTATTGCACCTAGATGTACTTCATCTACTACTGCAATCTTATCCACTATAAAACCATGAATAACTTGTCCTTCTTCAAATTTATTAATTTCATGTTGTACTACATTTGCTTCAGACTTTATGATACTAGATGTAATACTTCTTTTTGAACAAAAGTTGTAATATCTTAAGTACTTTTGTAATCCAAATTGATATAAATAACTTTGAGGTACACTTAACATTCTTAACATTGTTTTTATATGTAGCACTTCAATGTCTATAAGAGGTTAAAAATAAATTATATACGTACATTTTATTAAAGACATAATACAAGCATGTAAAAAGCGAAAATTTTCTTGTAAACAATGCAATACTTACCCAAGATATATGTAAAGTAGGCAATTAATACTTTATATTATGTGCTGATGAAATAAACAATTCTACATGCAAAAGAGATGCAATGTGACTTTCTGTTGCAATAAGTAGTAATAGTATAAACATTCCTTAACAACTATTATTTGACATTTAGCCATTAAAATATATGGTAAACATTTTAATAACATATGAGAATTTACAGTAGCAAGTTATGATCTCCCAAAATTTGAACGATCAATTATGATCATCATCATCCATAGCATTCTGTACGACTAAGATCGGTTTCCCAAATACTCTTTCTCTCTTTCGGGTTGCCTCGCATTTCGCAATTCATATTCTAGTTATCTAGGGTAACAATTGTGTAAGTACATACTGGATCTATTGAAAATGAATTGTAACTAGACGAATGATTTGCCCAAAAGTCTAGGAAAATTCCGAACCGTAAGATTGATACTATTCTTTAGTCTGTTTCTGTTTTTGCAAACGTATATACGGCGGAGCCAAATAAACAAATAGCGAGGACTGGGAATAATGGCTAAGTTTCAACCGAGGGTTCAAATCGGGTTAGAGTTCAGTTGCTTTGCCTGTTTCCATCAGATCAAAGTTACGTTGGAGTTGCGGCAGCGTTGAACATTACCAACTGCACAAAGTCAACTACCATATTCTGACATGTAAAGGAGAGCAATATTCATTTTACAATATCAAAATAACATACAAAAATTATTTCTCAGAGTACGAAATCACCGATAAAAAGTAATAATAACCTTGTCTACACCAATTAATACAACACGTGATACAGAATGCAATTTGGATTTTTGTCGTTTCCACTGAACCTCAATTGAACGCTACCCTAAAATTTTGTAGGGTAGAGTTCAACTAAACCTTTGGTGTTTCCACCGTAAAAGCGCTCACCCCAACCCGACTCTAACCCGACTCTGACCCGATTTGGACCCTCGATGGAAACGTAGTCAATTATCGTAAGAGCAGATGCGCGTAAGCATAGATTATAAAGAGTGCAATAGAGTGGAAAAAATGAATATGCGTAGAAAGAACGAATTCTTGTCATCTAGATACTATATTTTTTCGTGTATCTAAGTATATAAAAAAAATAAGAAAAAGCCTAATAAGAAAGAATGATACCAAACACTGCCTATGTTTTAATTTGTAGTAATATGCATGGTGAATAAAAATATATGAATAGCGGAATGAAGCAATGATGCAAGTAATAGGCAGTAATAGGAAAGCATAAAAGAGTATGGTAAATAAAGGGTCACTGGATATGTACATTCGGCGAAACAAATGTTATTAGAGCGCTTGTACAATACCTCCGATTATGGAACGAGTAGAACTAATCTGCGCAACTTGAATTAAATCTTGTTCAGCACTAGTTCTTTTGCGTAATATATATAGTGAACGAAGTTACAAATTTCTACAACTATAAAATAATATTATTTACTATTTAGTTCAATTTTTTTATAACATTAAAAAAATTGTGTATTATCTATCGTATATATTGTTTTATAGTTAAATAATTTTAAAATATAAATTTGATATTTGTTATTTTATTGTCCTTTTTGGTTACATTTATAATAGAAATATCATATTACGGCAGAAAGAAATTTACCAATGATAAACGTTTTTTGTTAAATAAACTGTGAATTCAGTGAAAATGTGACTTAATATGAAAGAAAGTGAAGCGATGTACCCTTAACATAAAATGCAGTCTATGGCAATTGAAGAACGCGCAAAGTGCTCAAGTTATCGTTGCGTGGTAGACCGTCCGCTAAATTTGGATTTTAAATTCATTATGGGCTGCGTATAAGTGTATTCGTTTATGCCAAAAATCACGGGCAAAATGTTGTGTATAAGATCGGTATGACAGATTTGCGCTTATTTTCATATTGTATGCACTTCGGCGACTTGTCAGTCCGCGCGAGTGGAGAGTCTCAAATGGCGCTCATGTGCAGTCACTGGGAGTGCAATGCTAACAAATAGTCCAGCTGTCTTTGACAAAATGGTAGGGTACTCGCATCCTGCGGGTGGTGATAAATTTTTACACACATAATTATACAAGCGCCTCCGGTCACGGGGTACAATGAATACTGATAACCATGATCAAACGAATCCCTGCGTTAGCAAGTCACCCGCGAGAATCGAGCCTAATGTCGACGAAAACGCGTTCGATGGGAAACGAATCAAGAAGGAACGAACTGATGTGTCTCCCGAGAATGGTGAAGGTAGTAACAACGCCGGTATTAATGACAATAACAAACAGTTACAGTCGAATCAACGACTGGCTGCCGGCAAATTTTCAAACGGCTTCCACGACGACGACCTACTTCAAGATCTCATCGCGGCCAAGTTCACGGCCTTAACAAATCAGGGAACTACCAAGTGCGACAAAATTCGACTCCTAATTGAGGATAGCATCAGGTTAATGAAACATCTTTCTCTTTCTTCCTCTCTCTTTCTTTCTCTTCTTTTCTCTTCCTCTCGCCTCTCTATACCTATTTCTCTCCCCCACTTCTCTCTCTGTTTCTCTTTTTCTTTCTTTCTCTCGAGCACGCGTGCTATCACCACCTCCCCCTTACCCTACCTGTCTTTAGTTTAAAAAAGGAGAAACCAAAATTTCTTTACAAAATTTTGTACCAGTATGATGTATGTTAAAAGACTATTATGTAAATTGTTGATAAAATAACATTACATTAAACATTATGTCAAGATAAAACTCTTATATTTTTATTACTTTATAAATGAAGTGATATATAAATTTAAATTCATTATATTCAGTTATTATATACAATACTTACAACACTAAAAGGAAATGATAATTTTGCAAAATATAAGATCATTCATAACACATATATAATTAATAATAAAAAATGAAAACAGAAGAAAACACAAAATAGCATATGTTTTTTGAACTATGGATTTATTAAATGAAAATATAATGGCAAAATAACATTTCTTTATGTAGAATTAACAATAAAAACATACTTCTGGTTTTTTAAGTGATAAGAAATACATATAGTATATTATGTGTTCCAATAGAAACTAGTTGCACTTATTATAGATGTTACTTTTAAAAAATTTGTTAACATTAATTCATTTTTTTAAAGTACTTTATAATAAATATAAAGACAAAAATTATAATAAAATTAAAAGTTAAATACATAAAGTGTTATGTATAGTAATGATTTATATATTTTATAGAAATAAAGTAAAATTTAATTGAAATTAATCTTTAATATTTCGTGCTATATAATAGACAATTTCTTAAATAAATAATAAAAAAAGATACAAATGATTAAATTTAAATTACATTTTATAAGAACAAAAAATTTACATAAGTAAATTTAACATACAGTGGTTTTAAAATACTCCAAGTTACAGGTTATTATGTTTATTTTAAGTATTACAATTGGTTGCGTATAAAAACAAGCACAAATATTTGTTTATAAAAGAGAGTATACTCTTAATTTTTCTTTGTTATTATTAGAATTAAAAAAGTTTGTATTATGTTATAATATCCATCATAGTACAATATTTGGACACAAAATATTTGCAATATTTAAAACAAAAAGAACATATTTGCTAATACTATTATTAGAGTTAGTTAAGATATCCTGTATGTATATTTGTTATGTATTAAAGTTCTATTGTATCAAATGTGTTATATACACTTTTATAATTTCTTTGTATTTCTTAATAAACACATTGTAAAATATTTTTGTTTTATTACTTATAGAAAATAAATACATCATAACTCAAATGAAACATTATTAATGATATTACTTTTACTGATTTTTGTGTGCAGTGAAGAATCAAAAACACGTATTCAAGAAATTTTTTCACAAATTGAACAACTGAAAATAGAAGAAAAATTATTGTTGTACCTGAAACTTCCATTATCATTGAGTAATACTGGAGCAACTGTTGATCCTTTAAGGCAACCTTTGAACCCATTAGGAAATCGTTACGAAATTCATCAAACTATCATGTGGATTAAAACGCATTTGGAAGAAGATCCAGATGTTTCCCTACCAAAACAGGAAGTTTACGATGAATATAAGTAAGTATTTTAGATACAATGGTTGAAAAAGTGACTACACAAATTCTTTACATATTATGTTAACAAAAACTAGTATGTTATATTAACATTTCTGATACAATACATTTTCTGCCAGATTATATACATATCTCATAATAAATTGTAAAAGAAATCATTTGTTATAGTTTTTTTCTTCAACTTATTTGCAGCATGTATTGTATGCGAAATTCTATGAAACCTTTATCAACTGCTGATTTTGGCAAAGTTATGAAGCAAGTATATCCTAGAGTTCGACCACGCAGATTGGGTACCCGAGGCAATTCACGTTATTGTTATGCTGGAATGCGTAAAAGAGTCAAGTTGGATCCTCCAACATTACCTGATATATCTGGCACTCAAACTGTGAGATATAAGACTATAATTAAAACGTTTTAAATAACTCCTTTCGTGTTTATATATTCGATTGTAAATATATATTTTATATTGCAATTGAAAGTCATTAAGTTTGCAATATATTTAAAAAATTATATGATTTATATCAATTATTTTTGTAATATTTATTACTTTTATTTCAAACAATTGAACTTTTAGGGCGATGAAGTAGACGAAAATATCACTGAAGAAATGTTAGGAGCTGCTTCAACACTGATCAGAGAATGGGCAGAAAGCCTGTTGGGTTTAAAATTTCCAACACTGAGTGCCTTAGCACGTCACCTTGTTGATAATCTTTGTGTTGACACTCGGTCTCTTTCTGCTGTATGCATATTATGCGGTTCAGGAAATTCTGATTCATCAACAAATAAAGGTTTGATATTTTATATAATATATACCTTAAAAATAAATTGGTTAATAGTGTATTAGAAATTGGGTTTTGTATTCAGAATCGAGTACAGATTTGCATATAACACCCATAAGTGGAAAATCTGGAAAACTCAGAGAAGCACAATTACAATTGCAACGAAAACTGCAACAGCGAGAACACATAAGGGATCAAAAGCATCGTCATCTTGATACTATTATACAGGTACAAAATGTTTAAAAATATATCTAAATATAAAAAAAAATACTATTTAAAATATTATAGCATTTCAATAATATTTCATAAACTACTTTTTCACTATTTCTAGTTACAACATATGTAGTATTGTTTATAATTACTATAATATTTTACGAATATTTCAGAATCAGAATAAAGAGAAGACTGTTGATAATAAAATGGGGATATCTAAAGGAAACAAGAAAATTAAATTCATTCAGTCGTCTCAAGGTACAAATACAAGTGGGCAAAATGCATTAACTAAAATAAGTTTATCTGCTGTAGTAACTAATAGGCAGAAAAAAGTTGTTAAAGCTAATAGTCAGCCATCTAACATCTCCCTGGAATCCAACTGTGATAATATAGTGGTACAATCGATTGAAGACATACAGAATAGCAATCCTAGTATAACGACGACCAACTGCGTGAATACACAGCGTGATATCAAATCCAAAAATTCCAGGAAGCGTGCCAATCCAGTTGTACTGAATCAACCATCAGAGACAAGCCCTGAGAAACAAACGAAGCTTACAGAACAGTTGATACAAGAGAATGCAGAGCATTCCAATGTATTATTGCCTAAACTCACATCTATACAACGTCCTGGAAAAATTTCAGTGATACTAGGTAGTAATTTGAAACCTACCAAGTGCAAAGCAAATGAGGCTGTTGACAATCAGCCTATTAAAAACTGTGATATCGAATCATCAACATGTTCCAAAAGTTGCATTAAAGTAAATAATTATCCTAGCAGTTTTGATTGTAGTTTAAATACAACAGAAGAATCTACAGTTTTAACTAAAGATCAGATTCGATTATTGCAAGAAAATTCAAATCATGTTGATAAGACAGAAAAATTGGGTACTATCGAGTCGGATGCTTTGGACGATTATTTAAATGGAGGTAACAATTCCCAAGAGCAAGAAGAAGAATTATTACAGTATTTTCAACAAAGTAATTCATCAAGTTCGGATGCAGAAGCTAATGCTATCGCTATCGATGAACAAGTATCAAGATCTGATAAAGTTTCACAATTAAGATTAATTTTACAACAAAATTTAAAAGCAGGAACGGTACATACTTCTGGTGATGTATTGCCCGCTGCTATTATTAGACAAAATGTTGATAAACGTGAAATTACTCAAAAGCATAACTTAATATTACCAACTTTACTAAACCATTCGAATCAAAATAATACACGACGTAGGGTCAGTTTCGAAACAAATGTTGTAGAACATGTACAAGATTCAAATGTTATTACTAATAGAGTCCCACAAAGTCCAAACACACGTCGTCGAATATTTAACTTCACACCGATATCGCCAGGTCCGCATTCACCCATTAATGGTCGCGCTTCCAAATCTAATTCTGCAAATGCCAGTCCGTTTGTTTCACCTCGGAATACACCAGTACCACGTTCAAGGAGTAATTTACAAACAAGTAATTTCAGAGTGCGTGCTCATAAATCTTTATCGCGTTCAATATCCTGTAGCATGCCTTATACTAATAAAAATGACACCTTCGTTGTTCCCACAAGTGGTCCGGAATTAATTAGGCAAACCTCATCTACGCCACAATTACCACTGATTTCCACTAAATCATCAGAAGTGCAGGTTGACAGCAGTACGATGCAAATTTCAGTTATACCAAAAAAAGAAGGACAAGGATCACAATGTGCTGCATTTCTATCTTCCGATTTAGCACCACAAAAACAGTTACTTATTAACTATCCGAGTCAAGAAAATTTGCAAGAAATAAAAAATGTTTACCAGAAAAACCAACCGGATCAAGAAATTAGTGAATTATTTCATAATAATAAACAGTTTTCCAATGAACTTTATAGATCACAATCAGTTCCATTACATAGGATGGTTAATCCTGCACTAATGTCACCCATTTCGACACAACATTGTTTACCTTTATTTCAAAGTCACAGTTTTAACCCATCTACAAGTAGTTCTGTAGCACCCACGCCAGTACCTAGTGAATTTAATGATTTTGGATCTATAGGTCAATCAGAAGGAACTTCAACGTACTTACTCGATGACGTTGATCCAAACTTCATATCGGATGATCAACATTTTTTAATGAGTGATAAGGAAATTACATCTGAAAATATAACAAATATATTAAATATTTTGAATGTAGAAGGGACACAGAGTTTACAAATTTTACCAGAGCAACCTACGGAAGAAGGCCTGATAGAAAATAATTCGATAGTGTTGGGTGCTTTACCAAATTCAAATTTAAACTTGTCAGAAGAAGATATGCTGGATCCATCAAATGTACTCGATATTCCAGAAGGTGGAACTTTACAGAAAATAATACAATCGCGTTCTTATCCTAATACACCGCTGCCTGTGTCGGTGTGTACATATACGCCATCTTATGCTGAAGACAGTAATGGATCAAGATCATATCCTTCTACACCATTACATACAGTTCAATCACAAGAAACTTATCAAGAGACTAATGAACCAATACTTTCAAGTCCTACTTTGAACTCTTTAAATTTACATAATGAATCTGTAAATGAATCTACTTCAATTAGTTTGTGTAGGAACGTTGTGGATTTACTCGAAGCTAATTTTTTAGGAGAAACTGATACGGAAACGAATGATTTAGACCCACTTAGTAACTTTGACGGATTACAAGATGTTGATTCATTGACACCTTTATTCAATGAAGTAACAGAGCCTAATCGTTGAAGGCGCATGCAGAAATTATTCATGGATTTTGTGATTTTGCATAATGATCTACCAAAGGTTGGAAAAATAATTTTTAAATTATATGTTTGCATGATTTTATTCTATAGCGATAATACTATGCATAAGTATTCCATTTTAATATGTGACAGTATAAACAAATGTTAGATTTTAGTTCCTAGTGCTAATATCAGACGTTCAAAGTCACAGTGATTGAATAAAAATATCTTGATTTAAGCTTTTTTCATAATATCTATTTTATATTCAATAAAATTATAACAGCAGAATTTCTTTTTACTTTTTTATATTTAAATTATAATTTATATGAATTTTTAATTTTTTATATTTTCTGAAATACTGAAATCGTTATTGCCTACATAGTATATAATAAGAAATATATTTCTAAGATCGACATTAAATATTTTTTTATTTTTTAATTGCAGTATCACGTTGATATAGTAATGAAAAGAACTTGTGTTGGAAATTTCAAAAATAAAACGGCATATTAAAAAATTGACTACTAAATTAGAAATAACATCGACACAATTATAAGTGTAATTTAATTCAATACATAAGGAGTTATAGCTAATTGTATTCTCTTTAGATTTGTATTGCTTATTTTTTAAAGTAAGTAAAAAGAAAAAGAAAAACTGTGATTACAAATGTAAATCTTATAACATTGCATATTTCTTAAATTTGCCACTAGGGAAACTAAAAGGTGTAAATATCTCCAGAAGAGTTTAAGGTGTCGTAGGTGTCTTTGGTGGAGCATTAAGTTTACAATTGTGAAACACAATGAAGAAGTTGCTCAAACGGAGCGATTATCGCTGTGAAATATTTGAGATTCGAATATGTAAAAGTTGATTTTATATAAATACTTTATATTTGTCGTTTTGAAATGTTTATTTCTAAGTCATTTCAATACGCGTTATTGTAACTTCGTTATTCAATCGTTTCTAAGAAATATTTACAGTCACCTGCTGGACATTGGTGAATCTTTTACGGAATGATCGGTATTGAATCCAGTATGTGTACTTTACTTGATTCGAAAAATGTAAAAAATAAACTGGATCGATTAGTATTTTCATATATTTCACATGGATTTACAAAATGTTACATTCTGTATTAGAAAATGGATTTTAACCTCAGACATTCAATATACGTACTGTTTTCTTTTTCTATTAATGTTTTCTTTTCAATATTTTTTATTATAACGTTTATGTCTATTAGATTAATAGCTATTTTAAATTCTTTATTTTCTTAAATCAATTGAATGAATGTTCTAAATAGTTATATTCCGTCTGGTTTCTAAGGGAATACATTTTTTAAGCATCGGCCAAAATTTTAGTAATTTGCATAATCAAAAGTAGAATATTTGTTTTTTGAATAAAAAATTTATTTTATAAAATCATATATTTATGTACTGCACTGGATTCTGCATCGATAACAATACTAAAATAATTGCTATGGCGGTGTTTCAGATATGTTGTCTTGTTTGTAAAGAGAAATCTAAATTATTACAAATATACCGCCAGTTTATATTTTTCTATGGCACTCTTGAGAAAAATTTTATAAATTGGATCTTTGTTTAATCGATTTTTATTCCTATGCATCATGGTTACTTAGCTTTCAAAGCATAAATGTTAGATTTTTTATTAAAAAAATCCGTATAGACGGATTATCGTTTTTAATCAGTAAATTTCATCACTTAAAATTATTTTCCATGCTAAGTTTTTATGATGCGCTTGACTTAAAGTATTAGATTTTTATAAAATATGGGGTAAACATAATTTAGTCGTAAATGATTGCGAACGCACAACATTTGCAAGAACTCTACATTATTATTTTGTAAAGAATTATATGGTGTTACGCAATTAATACCATATAAGATATATAATATGATTTTTGTGAAATCTTACTTGAAAGTTACTATGAATACACAAATAGCATGAACCAAATCCCGTATTATTAATAATTAAGTAAGCGGTTATATGACAATAAAAAATTAAATTAATAATTTATTTGACATTTGCATCTATATATTGACACAATTTAATTTGTATTTGTATATGATTATTTACACCTAGTTTTCTGTATCATTATAGTTAACTAGAAAAATTTAGAATACGATGTTTGGTTTACGCTATTATCGAATAAGGCACTATATTATTAATTACTTGTTTAATTGTCGTTTCACAGATTACAACTGAGTAATCATATGTGGGTGTCTGAAGAATTTTTAGTTTCATAAATCTAAAAAACGTTAACTATATAACAAGATTTTAAATTCGTAATGTGCATATTGTATGTACACATTTTAACCTTTTGAGGTATACTATGATTCCCTGCAAATGTTAAATTTACAGGAAAATATCTTTTCAGTGAAAATAATTTCAGAGCATATCAGAATATATTCATTCTAAGATGAATAAAAATGAAACCAAATAATGGTTTCTTTTTTCTAAAATTGAAAATATTAACGAAGATATATACTTATATATCTGGATTTAATATTATTACAAAATGAAATGAAAAATAAAACTTACATCAAAAGGTTAACGAACATTATACATTTATAAACAACAAGAAAACATTAAACCTGGGTATAGCTGAAATATAGTGAACACGTTTTTATGAAATGATTTAAATGTATTTCAACCATTTTAGACTGTTAAAATGGTTAATAAAAAGATGCTTTTATTGTAAGGCGAATTGTGAATTGTGCAAATGCAAGACATTTGATGAACCAAGTAGTGATTAATTAATGGACGACACATAAAGAAAGAAATGAATCAATTTTCCGCGAGTTGTGGAAAGAATGCTTTAAAAGAGAAATACGAATTCTTCGCGCACAGATGGTTAAATAATGACATACATAATTTTTATTAAGCTGAAGAACATTGTAGCAATGTTAAAAATGCATTGTTTTTGTAAATTTAATGTGACATATTATACATATAAAGAACATTTTTTCTTCTTTTTCTATACGTGCATATATACATATTAGACTTATATAACAAATATTTATTATTTCGTTATTAAGTGTTATTATATATAACAGAGCAAATAGCTTTCAAATATTATCCTGTCCGAAAATTGAACTACCACGATTTTTCAAGTACGAGTTACGTATGACGCCTGAAAGTTATAATTCAAAATTCCTTTTAAGATACATGAATATGTATAGTTTTTGTTAAACTATCTCACAACCAGAAAATATAAAAAATGTCATGTTCTCTTTTATTATAGATTTTGAATGTATACATTATGCTGAAGATATTTTTAAACATCGTTAAATGTAGAAATTTTAAATACTAAAAGTATATTCTTACAAAAAATAGATGAATTATTATCGATTGGCAAAGGGACAGTTTTTCCATAAAATTATATTTTTCATACATCTAATTCATCTTTTAAAATCTAAAAAAGCTGTTTTAATCATATTTTTAGTAGTGACTTCTAAGAAGATATTAAATATATTGAGTGAAGGATCTTGGAAAATAACGTCTACGAGAAAAAAGAGTATTATCCATTTGTTTTTGAAAGCTTTATTAAAAATGATTTTTTTAAAGAGATGTATAAAAAGATTGTGTTTTCAATTTTTTTAGAACTACATATTAGAAGAGTACTCAGCTCATCATCAATATTGGAACGCTGATTTCGGATTTTGGATATACAATTTTGTATATGGATAGAAGTTGTTCGCGATTTCCTTTATACAAAAAAGAACCCAAAATTATAATTTTTGAGTCGAAACTGTGGAAGCGTGATTTTCGAGCGGTGACATATTTCAGAATTATTTACTATTAGACGTAATGCTTAAATAAAGAAACATAGTTCTTTAGTATATAAATACGTTTAGTATATAAATATATATACGTAAAAAGAAAAAATTTTCTATATATACCACGTATGCTGCGGTAAATTCTGAAAATAGTGTATTTTTAAAATCGTTACAACGTTGATCTCTCGCAATTCGACCATATAATGTAATCGAAGATCTCAGAAATTTGTACAGCAGTACCAGTAGCATACATTTTGAGATATTATTGTGTTTATAAAGATTTTTGGTTAAAATTATTCAATTTCGTCACATATACAGGTCTTGTATTTGTTTGTGCTTTTGTTCAATTTACAATTTAAATTCATCCGATTAAAAATATTCTTAATTAATGTGTTCAATTTCCAGAAGAACAATACACTTTTCCACAATTAGTGTAAGAACTGTATTTTTTGTCGCTTAACAAATTATTCTTAGATGGATATTCATTGAATAATATGAATTATCAAATATTGCTCAGATTTATATAAAAATATGAGGGTAAATGAAGATCGTCAAATTTGATGTTAATATCTAGACGTTTGTAATATAATTACATTGATTCATAAAAAAAGAAGAAAAAATGGAACAAAATATAACGAAACATGTATACATGGATATTTATGAGAACACTCAATAGATATAGTTATAATAGCAAAGTAACAATAATTATGGCGTTCTTACCTATATAATATTATGAATATTTGGACTATAATTTTAAAGGAAAATAAAAGTTACCAAGCGGGGAAGATTGTTTAAATCGGTATGGTATAACGACACTGTACGATCTAACTTTACGCTATATTTTTTCCTCCATTGCAAGTTCATTCATCTGCGCGTTATTTATTTTCATTCATTCTTTCTATTTACGCTACCGTACAAACATATAATTTTTCAATGCGAAAGAATCTTTCTTTCTAATAAAAATTTTAATAGAAATATTATTTACATTTTCTAGTATCTTATTTATGATGAGTTAGAATAAAAATTTCATAAAAGAAAAATAGAAAGCAAATGGATCATTATTCAGATATTAATAATATTGCATGATGTAGAACAATTTTATAGATTAGTGGAATATCATATATTGCAATTATATACAATAATTGTCACACTTAAAATACATAGAACAAAATAATTTTCATAGAACAAGATCCATCGATTATAAATTACGATAAAGATCTTTTTGAACGCATTACTGAAATTCTATTGATTTGGCTCTGGATGCATTTTCTGTACTGTGTTGTCACAATTATGATATGCGACGTGTTAACTATAAAGATAGACAGACTATATTAAATGAAACGTGTTGGTTTTATTGGTTATTGTTAGAAAAGAAATAACTTGCCTTGTTTATTTTCTGTCAAAAAATCAAGATGTACGCCATCTTGCCATAATTAAATGATCTGCTTTTTCATTTCTTGGCAAAGGTTTTTGTATTACATTGAACACGAAAAAAGAGTGGACCTGGCGATATTACACGGTTGCTGCCGTTTCAGAGGCTTGTCGATCTTCGAAAAATCACTTTTTGATTCTTCAAGATCTCTTTGCTTCGTTAATAAATAAAATTTACTCGTTTTATATAGACAATTGTCAAGTGAGCTAAACCCAGCAATAGGAAAACGGTATTCCCATTGCGTGTGTTGGTGTCTTTGACAATTATTTTGTTTTGTAAATAAAAATTCTTTTTAGTAAAAACAAGGAAAAATTTATTACGGAAAAACATAACATAGTCCCCCCTTTATTCCTTGTGAAGCAATAATTTCGTTATTATAATTTTAATCATTGTTTTTAGTATTATAATATTTTGTACGAAATGAAACTATTTTTTTGTATAAAAGATCTACAAATGAAGAATTTTGTAAAGATAAATGTTACTAGTTATGCTATTCTTATGCTAAGTTAAGGATTTAGATAAATTTGTATGTTTTGCCGAAATATTTTTATAAAGTATGTATTCAATTAAAAAGATTGGCATTCAAGCAGGAATTTTTAAATTTAGTAGCCGTATATTATAAATATGTAAATTTGTAAAAAAAATATTTGTTTGTTTATTATTGAAAACAAGTGTAGACTATACTCTTCAATTTGTTATACCTGTAACATTATTTAGAGTTTTATATTGAAAATTTAGCTGTGCAATTGTAAAATATTAATTATACTCCAATTATTTATTTAATCTTTCTGTCATCTATATTGTTGTGAAAAGTACTTAAAACAGTTTCGAATTGTTTTTCTATTTGATGTCAATGCTTCAGTTATTTGCTCTATTTTAATATTCAAGTTATGTTTTTTACACTGTATGGAGGATTTTAGCCTCTTTTACGCCTCTTTTTCAGCTTGCAAAGATATTGAGAAGAACAAGTCACTATTTTGTAAACAGTGCAACATGCGTATAAGGTGTAACTTTTTTCGTAAATTTTGTGTTTGTTGAGATTTACAGTTGATACTATTGCGGTTGGTTTCGAAGATATTTTAACGGTTTGAGACATATGTAAGCAACTAGCTATAGTCACAAAGAAAGATAGTTAACGTGGGAATGTATAATACGATTTTAGGTATCGCATATATTTCAGCAAGACTATTGTTGACAATCACAATAACATTAACGGATGTCATGAAAAATTAGCGATCAATTAAAATATAAAAAGAAAAGACCACTCATTAGAGAAGAGTTGGACAGTACCGACCAAAATTAAAGTTTGCTTTCAACGTTAATTAGCTGTATTTTATATAAACAGATGAGTGAGTGTTATAATTCCGTGTAACATATTTCGGGTCCATAGTTGTCGCTTTATAATGTTATTGAAATGTGAGTGTATGTTAGTATTTAGCGCGAAAAAACTTATTTGTTTTTCTGTATTTGTTGTAGAACTGAGTCCTTGTTTATTAGATAAGACTAATTCTGTCGTAGTATGTGTATTACTTTTAATATGTAAGATGTTAATAAGCAGTAACAGTTCTGCAATTTTCTTCACACAATATGTACATGAACGTAAATTTACTTCAAGTGCCTATCATAGTGACGTAAAGTATTAATGATCTAATTGTTGTTTAGTACCGATCAAATTCTTTCTCCTTTTTTTGTACATTTAAGATAAATAAAAAAGTAGTTGATAACGTCATAGAAAGGAAAATAGACTTAAATGAAAAAGTCATTGCGCATATCATTTCTAAAATGTTATTTATCGAAAATTAGGTGCAGTGCATCAAATGTAACAATTAAGTACATATTTAATACATAGATTAATATTAAGCGCTCTAATTGTGATGTTTGCAAATAAATGTGGAATACGTTCAAGGGCTTTGCAACCCTTACAAATTGCAACTTTTTTATTTTTGCTAAATATTGATTTTTATTATCATATTTAAGAAAATAATCTTTTCTCGTTTATTAAATTTCACTTCTACAAATTACTGTCTTTTAATTCCATTTTCACCGAGACTAGTTTTAGTAAAAATACAGTGGTTGGTACTGAATGACTTTACGCTATTTATGCGGGACAGAAATAATTCATCGACATCAAGAATACTTGATTTGCCTAACTATTTCAAAGAACAAGTGTAATATATAAAATCTCGTTAAAATTTTGAAAGTAAATGAAGCAGTATTCATTTATAATAGTAATCATTATGTCCGTTTCTATTTTGAAAATAATTACGTCATTTGTTATTTTTTAAATTAGTATTGTTTTTAAAGTCGTATTTTGAATTTAAAAGAACGTAAAATACTGAACAAAGTAAAATGTAGGTGAAAGTTTAAGAGAAACAATAAGGACGCAATGCAAACAATATAACGCACGCATAATTGTGTAATAATGTGGGATGGTGAATAACAGAGGATCAACTTTTGTATTACTTACATTGTTTCAAAGACGTAGATAACACAATCAGTTTACATATTTATAAATCGTAAGTAGAAGTTTAATCGCGTTTTATATGTAATTACGAATCCAAATTATTTTTTATATCTAAATATTGTTGCACAAGTTTTGAATACTGTACATAAAGATTTGTCTCGTAGTGCTGTGCTTATAATACAGTTAGAAATCATCGGTACATATTTTTTCGAAGCTGTGATAATTTATATTTAAGGATAAACAACAAAGTGACGATTTTAACAAATCTATTTTTTAACATAATTTCAAAACGTAACTCTTGGCCTGTGAAGAGTGCACTCTGAAAATATTAAGTCAAAATTCGTATAAATAATAAAGTTAGAGTGTTTGTTATTTGTTGGTGTGAGAAGTAATCAATGGACTAACGGTAATATATACAAAATAATAATAAGTGGTTTAATATTCTAACACTTTGTTTTTCTTGTTCTCTTCATTGTAACCTTTCTTAAATTTACAATTTGTTGATATAAACATTTGATAAATCGTTTATACATATTTAGAATATAAATATTATCAGAATATCGGGATGAGTTTAACTTTCTGTTTCTTCTTCTTTATTAAGATCGTCGCTGTGAATATTTTACGGGGCATTTACAACAATACAAAGTGCCTATATTATCGACTAGATTACTTATATTTTTCATACAGCCATTAGTTACCCTTCCCTATACGATGAAATGCATTGAAAATCTGTATATAACATTTATTTTTTATTATTGCTTATTTGCATGAATACATGAAACTTAATTTTGTTGAATATTTCAGGAAAAATGAGTATGTGAAGCATATATGGAAGCTGGATCATAATAAAAATCGAATATCTATGTATGATTTAGTTTAATGAATTTGAACTTTTGTTCGGTGATCGCAATCTTGGATAAGCAATTTTAATAGACTTTGGTGAGCCGAATGCGAATATATAAAATGTTTCTTTTTAATGTTCATAATTCATGAAAAAAGTGATTTTTAGAGTTACGAATTTTTAATATCAGAGATATGTTGTGCTTTTGTAACAATAGTTTGGTAATCAATTCTTTTTGACATGATACAATTTTATGGATTATTCTGATTAAAATGCTGTGACTTGCTATTATTTTATGGTTTTAAATGTAAGGGTCCAAGGAAAAAACGATCTTATTCCATTCCACATTGAAATTCAGATCTTAATATCATATCCTTGGAATTCCTAGTTTACAATTCTGAAAGGGGAGTGTGAAGTTCAACTAGATGAACGGAAGAGGTACAGATTTAAAAGACAAGATGATACATTAGTGGATAAAATAATTTTAAGAAAAAAAATACACCGACTTCGAAATGCACTAAAAAGTATAAAATAATTTCTATTTCATTCAATCATACAATTACGTAACAGATATGAATGAAACCTATTTACTCGTTAGGTAGTATATTAAATACATTTCAACCTTTTCGGAGGCGGCCCAT